ATACGATTTTCTAGATCCATGAGTTTTTGATTGCTATTTCTGCTTGAATTTCAAAGAATTTTATAAATTTTGACCATCGATAATTTCCACAATTTGAAAATATGTAGTACTAACGTACAAAAAAACGATTTTCGATGGGCACCCTAATATACATACATCTCTATGTACTCTACAAATCCGTATGTACTATTTCAATTTAAAGAAATAAAAAAATTTAAAGGTTAAGTTATTGGGGTAATTTATGTCGCTTTCAATAAATAAATTTTTGAAATAAGCTTATCAACCGTTATGTTAAATGACGGAGTTCTTACGTTTTTTTGCGGGTTATATATTGAAAATAAGGTTGGCCTACTATTTTCCAAAAGTTTAACCCATCAACTCCCACTAGAACGGGCCTTTTTGACCCACTGTTTGAAAAATGGCTTATAAATAGTTAAAATTTCCACTAATATATTAAGCGCCAAATTTTTCTAAGGAGAACAGAATGAAATGCAAAATAAAAAAAATTATAGTTTAAAAAACTAAAACCTCCCTATTATAATTGCCATTCGTACTGTCATCAGTAGTGCGATTCACTAACTTTTAACAATGCGACTTGTCGAGATGTCAGCTAACAATTTTTGTTGTTTGTAGTAACGATTGTGCGATTCATTAACTGTGCTGCCGCTAATGGCCACAAATCCGTTGCATATGCCTAGGCGCTCGTGTGTGCAAAAAGTTGACAAGCTTTTATATGGAAGAAAAAGTGCAACACCCTCCACGAAAAAATTCTAAAAAATCAACGGTAACTTTTAGCGACTTGAAACTTGCACTTTATCAGACTAAAAAAGAACGGGCTACAAAACTGCATACCCGTAAATCTTATAAAGATCCTGAATAAAAAGTTCGAAATATTTATAAACATTTTTTTAAAGTTTGATTTTTTGGTGGGATTTTGTATTTTTGTGGTTTCTGTTATTATATAGTAGAAGGAACTATTAAAAATAAAATTATTAAAAATAAATAAATACACATAAGTAGCAAACAACATAATTTTGAATTTTTCTGCCAAATTTTGCTCGCAGCTGTAAAAAAAAAAGTTAACGAAAAACATTAAAAATTAAAAATATTGTTACTATGTATTTAAAAAGAATCACTGTATGCACATTTTGTACATATGTAATTATTTTTAGGACTGATTTTATTATGCTAGTGTAATGATGATTAATAAAGAAATATTTAAATATGGACATACATATATGATATTTATACTTTTAACAAGCGATGTACACGTATTAAATTGAAAAATTTAATTATTCAATTCCTTTAAATTCAAGGCATATTCAGTTCCTGTAAAATTAAAAAAATAGACTTATAATCTTTTAACTTCCAGTTTTCTATATTGCTTTACACCCTATTGGAAAATTATAACCGGAATCCATATAGACAAGTTTTAACGAACTATTTTTCGTGCTATTTACTTTATTTTTCTTGTTTTTAATAGTGTATTCTGTGTGTGTGTATTATTTAAACAAAATTCAACAAACTTTCGTAAAACTTCAAGTTTTTAATAAGAATAGTAACAGAATTATGTATGCAGTTTTGTAGTCCATTAAATTTTAATACAATAAAGTGCAAGTTTGATGCTGAAAATCCTTTGATTTTTGATTTTTTTTTGCTAGCGGTACTGTGCATTTGTACGAAAAAATTGTAGAACGTACCTTTTACGTTTTATTAACAACACCAATCTAGACGTCGTCAAATTAGCGGCCTTTGTTATCGTTAACGACAACAGCTGATTTGGCGCTAACGAATGTTGTTAGGGAAACGTTTACCGAATAGCTAAATTGTTAAAATTGTCGTTTAGTTGACTTAACAACAACAAGAGGTGTTAAAATCTCGTAGTGAATCGCACCACAGGTATGTAACTTGAGAATAGAAATCGCTGCATCTTTTAGGCGCATCAATATTACATAGTTACATCCCGAGCTAATAAGAGGAAGGTAATAATAATGGTAATTTTTACCAAAAAGGGGTACTTTAACTCTTTGTAGAAAATATTGTGATGCGCGGGAGCAAAACCTTCCTGGGGTTTGACCACTACTTAGGAATACTAACGTAATTTTTACACAGCCACCTAGTTCTTGTATACGTCTGTGGGACCCCAGAATAAAGTAACTTACGAATGTAAAAATTAGCAAAAAAAAGTGTTTGCTTTTTATTAAAATTCTGTTTAAAATCTTTAAAAAAAAACACAGGAAAATCAACTAGTCTTTGTTTTATCTCCAATAATTGAGGATTTAGATGCAATAAGGGCGCTTCTGTTAAAACTGCTTTCTGAGATATTGGCGTTAAAGTTTTTGATGTGTATAACTTTCTTGTTGATGTAGTATATAAAAAAGTAGTATTGTTGTAGTATTGAAAAAATTTTTCTACTGCGGAAAAAATCGTCAGAAAACGTGTTACCTATGTTTTTTTCTGAGTTACGCTTTTTTTTTGAAGTGGTTAGTGGCCCAAATTATGCAAACAAAACTTCTTTTAAAAATGTAATTTTCATTTCGTAAAATAGTGTTTTTATACGAGTAGTATTTCCTTCAAACGATGTATTTCAATGTGCATACAGCATGAAAATTTTGTACAAAATTCCTTAGGCGCCGAACGCCGCCGATATTTTCGTAACTCGGCGGCGGCGCGTGAGAAATGACAAAAAACGGCGGCGGCGGCGGGGTGGCCCGGCGGCGTATACCTCTATGTCCTTTTCTCCCAAAGTTTACACTGCTGTCAAATGTAAATAAGGATTAAAATTTTAAATACAATTCAAGTAAAATCTGCGGAAAATTAACAATAAAATAATTTTTTTCGCAAAATCTATTAAGGACCTTTTTATTTCTCAAAAATACTGGGTAACAGTTATTCGTCGCCACGCTGCACAGTGCCGCCTAAGTGGGAAAAAATCGAAAAATTCGTTATCTGCAATGTGAACTTGTTTGGTATTTTTGTAAAGACAATTTATCCACTAAAAAGAATTAAACAGACATTTCCATAAAAAATTAATTATATGCCGCCAGGAATTAAAATTTTGGAATAAAATTAAACACAGGGTGTCGCTGCGGTGTTCAAAAAAAATAATTTTTTTATACAAAATTTCAAAAAATGCTAAATTTTAATGGAATGAATAAAAATATATGTAAAAATAGGTTATTTTTTATTATTTTATTAAATAGTACGGGCTGTTATCTTTCAAAAGAAGAAATAAAAACCTGCTCATTTTTTACACTTTTTGAAGTAATGCATAAAATACTTTTTTCATTTTTTTGTCAGTGCCTTGAGATCTGCACGATTCGTTCCATTTTCAATAATGAAGTGTCAGATTAAACAGCTTGATCTGTGGACAATAGAGGTTTTATATTTTTAAGAGTTGCCACCTGTTAAAAAATTAGATTAAATTTTTTTATAAGTTGAATGAATTATTAAGGGATGGGTATCAATCGAAATGTGTATTACTAAATGTAGTAAATGTAGTTTAAAAAATCAAATTCCACTTGAATTAAAGGAATTAGGTAATTGAAATAGATAGGTATCACCATAAGGGAGTCAGACGAAAGAGGTTTAAGAAGGTTTTAGCTTAAAAATATTACGAGTAGGGTTGCCACCTATTTTTCAAGTCGAAACTAAAATAATAATTACGTCAAACCATAGGATTACGCCATCGTATTTGTTGTTTTATTACAAATACGTACATTGTCAATCAGTGATTTGTTCTGATTACATTCCTTTTAAATTACTGGACTCTTAAAACTCAGGAATGTTTTTACTCTCAACTTATTTCTTGCTAAATATGTCAAATTTTTTCATTTGTCTGATACTCATATTGATATACATATTTCAGTTACCTTATTCCCTTAATTAAAGTGAATTTGATTTTTAAAACATGTAGCAACCCTTCTACGTGTCATTTAGAGGTAAAGTATTTTCAAAACTAGTTCAATTGATACCCATATTTTAATATCTAATTCATTTAACTTATTAAATAATTTTAATAAAATTTGTAACAGGTGGCAACCCTTTTCAAAAATAAAAAACTTTATTGCACATCTACAGACCAAGCCCTGCCATTTGACACCTCACTTTTGAAAATAGGACGAACTATATGTACATACCTACATACATACATTGTCGGCCGCTGTGGTGTAGTGGTAAGCAGTGCGCGCTTCCACTCCGCAACGCCTGGGTTCAAACCCTGGTCAAAGCAACATCGCACAAAATATAGAAAAACGGTTTTTTCTTGACAGCGGTCGTCCCTCGGCAGGCAATGGCAAACCTCCGAGTGTATTTCTGCCATGAAAAACAGCTTCTCATAAAAATACAATCGCCGTTCGGAGTCGGCGTAAAACTGTAGGTCACTCCACTTTGTGTGACAACATCCAGGCGCACGCCACAAATCGGAGGAGAAGCTCGGCCAAACACTAACATTTGTGTAAGCGCCAATCTATATATATATAATATATACATACCTATGTAAAAGCCACAAGAACCCAAATTTTCAACTTCAAACTGCAGTTACAGTGAAAGTATAAAAGTTATCCAAAAACCAATTGCATTTTTGAATTTCAATTTTACTAAGAAGCGAATTTTCATTTAATTCCGTCCATATTTCTATTTTTGCCCACATTTTATATGGAAGGGAAGCATAAATAAGTCTCTGAGATGTTTACTATAAGTGTAAAAATGATTAAATAAGAAATATATAAAAAATAGCAAGTATATTTCGTTTTCCCCCCTAACATCAGATTCTGGCTATACCCTTGTTGGTGTACTCGTATACTCGTATACGGCTTATGAGAAAATGATATTATCTAGAAAAATGGTGTACAGATCCGTGATCAACGACCCAAAATTAATTTTACTTGTCTCGGCATTTTTTGTAACATTTTAGCGTCCCTACCATGTAATATATATGTATATACATATATTTGTGTGTATAAGTACAATGACTGTTTGGTATGATTTCTAATACAAACCTTATGGTGGCGCATGTATGTCTTTGCTCCATCCAATAACCGCTCAAATTCTAGGCGATTAGCATTGCGATTAGTTATCACATTTCCAACTTGACCGACAATTGTTGCAAATATAAATACTCCAATTAGATAGCTGACTATAGTAAAAATGTACCTGAGAAATAAAATAAGTAAAAGTATGAAAATCGGAAAATCAAACGTTTGCATCAAAGTTTTCGAAAAACAATGACATAAATGTTAAGAAATATTTTATATCAAATGGTGTTGAAGCTGTCACAAGTTTCGAAAACTTTGATGGCTATCTTAAAACTTTGTGATCGCAGATACATGCATTTGAAAATCACAGCTATAATTAAAATAATGTTTTGATAAAACCAAGTGGACAGCCCCAACATCATTGATATTTGATGCATTCAAAACTCTGTCGCTCATTATGTGAGTCAAATTTCACAAGTCAACGCTGCAGTACAAGCGCGGCATATGTGCATACATACATACATTTGTATGTAGGCCGCTCATTCGGCACCACTATTTTACTTTTACACAAAGATTTAAAAAAATCAAGGTATTTAAAATTTATTCCTTTTTGACACTTATGTATGTATCTTCAACAGCGCAATAGTTTTATATGTTTAAAAACGCGACTACTGCAGTGTTCATAGTTAAAAAGTAATTAAAACCAACTCTATGCTCAGTCCTAACTGATAATAGGGGACCGGATACACCCTCGAAAGAGGTTGATCCCCGCTTTGTCAGTGGTGTGCGTTTAATATTATCCCGTGAACGTAAGACCCTACTCCTTTGAATAGCCTAAAGCTTTTACATATGTATGAAAGGGTTTTTAACATGCTCCGGGATGTTCAATTGTTTTCCGAAATAAATAAAATTATAGTTTAAAAATCTAAAACCTCCCTATTATAATTGCCATTCGTACTGTCATCAGGTATGTAACTTGAGAATAAAAATCGCTGCATCTTTTAGGCGCATCAAGATTACATAGTTACATCCCGAGTTAATAAAAGGAAGGTAAAAAAGGGCACAGTTGAAAAGTATTTAAAATCGAAAAGATAGTATTTCGTCTTCAGCCAACGCCGGTACTCATTTAGATTCGTTGCTTAAAAAAATGCCGAAAAAGACGCTGCTTTTGGTTTCGCGGTACAAGTGCTTACAAGTACATTCTACACGGAGCAGAATGACGGCATCCAAAAAAATTATGTAATGCGGGACCCACGGAACTGATTTCAAAATCGTGCAAGTATCGGGAAGGTTTTGCGGGAGGGACGTGACCAAAATCCTTTCCCGACACGCCCGATAAAACCCGCAACCTCCGTAAAATCAGAAAATCTTCCTTAAATAAATTTTATGAAATAAGAACTTTTTATGTTTTATTGACTCGAAAACGAACAGCAAAGCAAATTAAAATTAATCTGAAATACATGTGAATTAAACTTCCTTAAATAGATTTTATGAAATAAGAACTTTTTATGTTTTATTGACTCGAAAACGAACAGCAAATCAAATTAAAATTAATCTAAAATACATGTGAATTAAACTTAGTAATAGATTTCGGTACCCACGGGACCCGCGGTACAATTCTGAAAAACGTCGCGATGGGTGGGTTCGGGATTGAAATTTTTTCCCGTGCCCATCTCTAGTCGGCCGCTGTGACGTAGTGATAAGCAGTGCTCGCTCCACTCCGCAGCACCTGGGTTCAAGCCCTGGTCAAAGCAACATCGAAAAAAATATAGAAAAAAGTTTTTTTCTTAAGAGCGGTCGTCCCTCGGCAGGAAATGGCAAACCTCCGAGTGTATTTCTGCCATGAAAAACAGCTTCTCATAAAAATACAATCGCCGTTCGGCGTACAACTTTAGGTCCCTCCGATTTATGTGACAACATCAAGGCGCATGCCACAAGTCGGAGGAGAAGCTCGGCCAAACACTAACATATGTGTAAGCGCCAGTCTATTATTAATACATCTCTAGTCTAAATAACAAAATTAATTTTTATAATATTACATACTTCACTTTTAGAGGGTGAATCAATTCCAAAGTGACTTAATGTCAATTGATATTATTTCACTATTGGCCTGTGCATTAATGTCATTAACATTATTTCACTTTTGGGCTGTGTATTAATGTCATTGACATTAATTCCATTGACATTATTGCACGTCACCAACTAAAAACCCAAAATTCAATTTTTGATTGACTAAGTTGCATTTTATCGAAATATAAATCCCCACATCGTTTTATGCAATACACATTTTTAGTTAGTTACGGCTTGTTTCAGCGATAGGGTCTTTCTTCTCATGCGGCAACTACACAAAATTTAAGCTTGAAATTTGTACATAATTTCCTTTTTAATTTTGTCAGTAAGTGACATATGTATGTAGATGTCGCTCTGTTAAAGCATGTTTTCACTATGTCAAATTATGACATTTGCCGTCAAATAAGTGAGAACACGTTGTCAGATGGGATTAATAAGCCGTATATCGGTTGATTTCGATCAGGATATGTCCTTATATCCTCCTTATGGCTGCTATAATCATCGGTAGGGGTATGGATAAAGGAGATAAAGTTGTGTTAAAATATGACGACAAATTTGGCGTAAAAATATGCCTTTAGTCAATTCGTTGCAGGTGATATCACTTGCTAATAGCATCTGACATTAGTGGTGTTCTGTTTCCACAATCGACTCATCGGCATATGTGCAATTTTCTTAATTGGTAGCATTTTTTATATTTCATAATTTTCAAATTACATTTTAAAAGAGATTGACATTTCTTCAGTTTTTAGGAAATTCATGCACAAAAATAATGGTAACGAAGTTTCTAAAAAGTTATACGTCTTTTTTGAAGAAACGTTTGTATATTTATAGGGTTGCTATTATTAACCAAGCTAAAGTGCCTAATTTTAAATATTTTCAAATATCGTCTATGAATTTTTCTTAGCACAACGCGCACTAAAAAATTCACAAGCAACACCGACAGTAGAAAAAAAATTCTATCTGATTCATTAAACTGATAAAAATACATTTTCCGGAAAAACACCCAAATGTAAATACTAGGAATGTTAGTCCCGGGATCCAGGCCTTTTTAAGGTCCAAAAAATACCGGGATTCTTGGCAAATAATCCCGGGATTTTTGGAATTTGTAATTTGCACTGATGGCAATAATAGAAACTCCCTTTCTTGACCACAATTGGCTATATTTCTTTTTTTATTTAATAATTAATATTTTTTTTTATAAATGTCTAGCTCATACATATAACAACGCGCGATAGTAAATTTTAAACACAAATGTCGATATATTCGCAAAACCATGGGCCAAATATAGTAAAATTGCGTTTTTAGTTTTTCAATCTGACGTCAGTAATTCAAAAATGATTTAAACAATTCAGAGAAAGGTGCTTAGAGAAGAAGTATGGGTGCCAAATTAAAGAGGAAATCCTGTAGAATTTAAACAGATTCAAGTTTTTGGTGCAGAAGAACTGGTAAGTATTGAAAATGTCCTTTTTAAATTTTATCCTTCACATTTCGCAATATTTGTTTTTGCAATATCGCACACATATATCTAAAGTGCGATCACCTCAAAAAAAAATGTTTTTTGCATAAATCAATTCAAAGGACTTAGATCCAATTAATGCAAATATTTTTTTCTTCATGAATATTTACATTAACTAAAAATATATTGTTATACCTGTTTTTTGTATTAATTGCGCTGAATCTGTACAATCCAAAAGCAGTTACATTTTCCTCTATGAATTTTGAGTTAGCTCACTTTAGATCTAGGTGTGCGATATGTTGAGGACTTATATAAACTCGCTAACATCCTCGAATTTCGTCCTTCTAACTTTATCAGCTTAAAAAATTACCTATTCGTCCTTGTGAATCCTTGTGTGCATTTGGTACCCATATTTTTATTCTACATTGTGTTGAATTTTTTAAATAATTTTTGGAATCAATAATATCTTTGAATTGAATTTGAAGTTCTTTAAAATAAATCCTGACGTCAGAGAGAAAAAATAAAAACCACACTTTAAATAAAAAAGTTGGTTTCAAACCCATTTATTTATTATTTATTTCATTGTAGGAGAGCTTCTCAAACAATATAGAAGCGATTTTTTTTCGATTTAAGTTGTCGAAAAGTAATGAATATCTAAATCCCGGGATCCCGGGGCTGTGATATGACATCCCAAAAATCCCGGGATCGGAAAAATCTGAAAAACTTACATCCCTAGTACATACATACATAGGTGTTCATGTATCTATTTTTTTCGTTTACAGAGGACTGTAATGATTGGATTGAAAAAGATAAAATTTTCCGTTAAATTTAAATAGGAATTAAAACAATTACATCCCGGAAAGCATTGATCTAGCGATGTTTTTAATAGCTCCGGTGCATCGAAACATCCAAAAAAAAATTACCCCTACCTAATCGCGCTGCGGTTAGATAACGTAGCGATCTATGCAGATTGACATTTAATCAGTCAGTGAGCATATGGCCTATTTCACGTTTTTCTTTGGTCTGTAGTAAGAAGGTAGAGGTGAAAGTTCAGTGTCTGTAATAAAACTTTTAAACAAAATGAGACGATCAAAAAAGACATGAATGCAGTAAAAGACATGAATGCAGTACGGAAATTATGAAAAAGGAAGAGCTCGGAAATTTTGGACCACTTGCCGTTTTGTTCCTAAACGTACCAATTTATTTTACAGTGTATTGAAGTGGTCCTAATCGGGTCTCAAGTTGATCGAAAGTATTTGAAAAATCTCGTATAACATTACTTTTACCATTAATCTTTTATTTAAGAGTCTATAGTACATTTGAACGTCGCATATTTTTGCGGAATATTTTAACCCACTATTGAGATGATTGACCAAATATATCTAAACCGCCACTTTGTTGATTTGGAACTTTTTCATTAGGAGTCTTCATCTAAAGTGATAAAGGGATAAATTGCTTAAATTTATCAGTTTATCCGCGTTCTTTCATGAACGCACCTGGGTAAATAACTTCATAAAACTGATTATTATTTAACTTATATGGCTAGTTTATTTTCATTCTTACCTCGTCCATTGTGTTCATTTGCCTTTATATGTTCGTAGCAAAAGCGACTGCCTGGCAACGTGTAAGGATTGAATTTTGCTGAAATTTATACATTTACCAAAGTCGTTTGATATAGTGATAAACTTTGGTTAAATAGATTTCCATACAAAGTTTGACAGTTCATCTAACAAAATGAAAAATTTATCACTTTATCAAGAGATTATCACTTTTGATGAGGACCCCTATTGTGTACTGTAATCTACTAGTCAGGCCCTTTCATTCAATAACCATTGTGAAAGAATATGTAATCCGCCATTACATAGCGGCGGCCTTCATGTATTTACAGCAGGGCTACACATTAACGTTAATTTTATCAATAAACTAAAATACAAAATCGTTTTTGTTTTTACATCGATAATGCCGGCCGCTGTGGAGTAGTGGTAAGCAGTGCTCGCTTTCACTCATCAACGCCTGGGTTCAAGCCCTGGTCAAAGCAACATCGCAAAAAAAATATAAAAAAACGTTTTTTCTTAACAGCGGTCGTCCCTCGACAGGCAATGGCAAACCTCCGAGTGTATTTCTGCCATGAAAAACAGCTTCTCATAAAAATACAATCGCCGTTCGGAGTCGGAGTAAAACTGTAGGTCCCTCCGCTTTTTGTGACAACATCCAGGCGCACGCCACAAATCGGAGGAGAGGTTTGGCCAAACACTAACGTATGTATGTGCAAGCGCCAATCTATTATTAATATTATATTAATGCTAACATTATGCGTTTTTCAAAAAAATTCATTTTGTTTATTATAATTATTAATTATAATGATCAGAAAAATATGTCAACAACAATTTTATTTCGTTGATTATCAAAAAAGAAAATTTGTTTCTGCAGCAAGCAAAAAATTTAATAAACAGGCAAATTTCATTATTTGATACGATGTCTTTAAAAATGAAGAAACTAAAAACTTTTTTAAGGAATTCTGCGTAGAGCGAGCGTTTTCGACTTTAAAATACATAATTAATGACTATAGGTGAGGTTTGAGTGATGATATAACTGAAGTGATATTAATATTGCGGCTCAATCAGGGTGTCCAGATTGTTTAAAAAAAGCGCCATTTCTGAAAATAAATCGCCAAAAATCGCAAATTTTTTGTTAAATAAAATTAGTGAAATCTACTTAACAAATCTTTTATTTTAAAAATGAGATCTTGTTATAATGTAGTTAAAAAAAAGAATATAATACCTTCAGGGTAATAATAAATCACTTATATAATAGTGATGTACAAACAATTTTCTTAAAAAATACGCATACTTTTTAAAAATATTTGTATCAACACATTTTCCAATAGGACTGTGCAATTAGTTATTAAATTTATTATAACTCATATTAACTCATTAATCGCACAAACCGCTTTTAAGCGCTCGTCGCTAAAAATAAAATAAAAACCTATAATAAGACGAGATCAGCTATTTCCACAATTTCTTCAAAATCGCCTATAGTGTCTGAATAATTTACGTTTGTGTTGTTGTCATATATTGAGCCTTAATAACATACTGTTTGATATTGGAAACGTTTTGCAGCAGAAACTATTAGCCTTCATATAACATTTTATTCGAGCTATTGAAATAAGGCTTTCAACCTCATACTATTTCGAATCTTAGTTTTTGTTGAATTCATTACGGAAAAACGCGCTCAACAAAAGCATTTGAGTGTGGCAAGGATAATAATATGAAGGCTACTTTACTTATATTTCCAAACATTTTATTGCCTGTTGCGGTTTTCACTCCGTAAGCAATTATCCAAAATTCTTCAGAGTCGGATGGAATGCCGTTCTGAAAAAAGTTATTCCATGGGAATGTTAAAAGATTTAAATATGCAGTTTTCGCTGCTCCTCTTTTCTTCGAATTCATATAGTAAATTGGCAGGTCCCTGAAACTCGCACTCTTGTGATTCAAACACTTTTCTAGTGAAAAAATCAAAACTTTTTTAAAAGTATTTAACTGACTAGGTAATCGTTTCAAAAGTTCTTCGATTAGGGTCATTGAAAATTTTTGACAGTCAGTTCATTAGATTCTTCTGTAAAATTAACGTGGAAAACTAAGTTTTGTATATTTTTATAACTGGAAAAAAATTATTAAAAAGGAAAATATCGCCAAAAATCGCCAATGGCGATTTCCTAAATTTTTAAGCGCAAATATCCAAAAAAAATCGCCAAATTGGCGCTAAATCGCCAAACCTGGACACTCTGGCCTCAATTACTTTTCGAATAATTTAACAACAGCGTTTTGTTAACTATTTCTTAATTATTTAATAAAAACACTTCGCATAATGCTATGTAATCCTACATAAATTTTGCTACACAACTCTCATTATAAGATCCATATCTATGGGATACAATTTTCTCTTTCCAGAATTGCAGCGGGCGACGGTAGAGCGGTCGACGGGTAACCGCTGTCAAAATTAAAACTCAGGAAGACGAAGCACATAATTGCGGCGGCAGCATTTTTACCGCCAACGTTTTTCGGTTGGTTTAAATTTATTTCTATTTTTACCGCCCTGGGGGCGGCATATTGTTGATTGTAATCACAAGTTTGCAAATGCTATTAACAATTTTTATTTGCAGAAAATATACACACACGCACGTACCAAACAAATAAAAATATTTTAATGAAAATTTCCAAATCAAAATGACAGTTAACTGAAGCCGCAGTCAACCGCAATTGTGTTTACTCGGACGGATTTCACTGCGGTAACTGAACAGCTGTTCACTTACCGCCGACCGCTTTACCGTCGTCCGCTGTAATTCTGTGTAGAGCTTAAAATAATGAAACAGAAACCTATTCGCAAGAACGATAGAATACAAGATTGCGCATTTCCGCAGAATGACATTTGTAGCAACGGGTAAACAAAGAATATGGCGAAGAACAATGAGTTGACAGTTGTGAATTTGCAGTGAGAAAACGTGTTTTCTTCACGATTCACCAATTTCTCAAGCCATCTTTGAATATGGCAAATTAAGCACAACGTTAACAAAAAATATACAACCACTCTTGAAATGTTTTCAAAAGAATAGGTCTTATTAATTAACTATTTAGAATTTTCGTGTTTTTATTGCAGGTGCCGAAAAAGTGATAATATCTTGTCGCAGCGCATGTTTTCCTGCAGAATGTGGTTGATGCTTGCTTACCTCCGACTTTAATTTGTAATTTGTGGTATTTCAACGTTTTCCTTATGCTGGTGTCTAAATTGCATGGCTTCTCCTGCCGGCAGAACTCTACCCACTTTCTGGCCAAGGCGTCGTCGCGGGGAAACAAAAAAACTGCATTTGGGGCCTTTGGCCCTACGGCTGCTGCAATTCAACACACGACACGATATTTTTATAAAGTCTTTATTACAAATAAAACGTTTTTTACTTCAGAACGCACGAATTAATTCGATTTTTCACTTGAAAGTACACAATACGTTTGCACTTGTTTATAAACAAAAAGTTTGTTTACGTATTGCCATAAACGTCAAAGTCGGCAAAACCAAAGTAGCGGTTTCGGGAATGCGCCACCTTCAGTTCATTACTCCATGACCTATTCATACATATTTTCATTTTGATAATCATCGAAACGAAATTTTTTTGTTAACATTTTTTGATTACTAACGAAACTATTTTTCTTTTCATATTTTGTTTATTGATAATAAGCAAATGGAATTTTTTGATAAGGTGTTTTTTTAATAAATAACGAAACGAAATTTTTTCGTTTATATAGTTATGCAGCCCTGATTTACAGTGATACCGAATATACGTACGTGATTGTTTTGCCATCAGAACTAAAGGTGTATACCAAATTCAAGATCAATAGGTCATCAAGAACGGGGTAAATTTTAATTACTACTAGATTAGCTCCAACAAGGGTTAAACCATCCACATGGTTGAAAATAGTGTAGATTTAAATGTTCCGCAAAAATTAAAAAATAATACAAATAATTTGACATTTAGGGACAAAACGGCAGAGCTGTTCCTCTTTTGCAGTTACGATATCGCATTCGTGTATTTTTTTAGCTGTTGCCGCTGTGTATTTGGCCCTTAGTTATGTATAGTGAGCGATTGAGTTTTAGCATTTACTTACATATTTATAACTGTGCACATTTATGCACAGTTAATAAAATTTGAATGAAAGATAAATCATACCCATAATTAGAACCGAATTGCAGTAACCTTGATCGTATACCACGTCTTGGTATAGATCTTGGGCCGTCCACTGAAAAATTTGGTCTTACAATAAGTAAAAGAAACACATTTTTTAAACATACATAAATCCAATTAGTTGCGTAGCTATAAATATAAATAAGTTAATAATGCTACAGATAAAGGAAATTTACAGGAGATTTTTGAACTACATAAAAAACGACTTTCGCCTCTCAAATTTGAATTGAAAGAAAACCTATGAAAAAAACTTTTTAATATACCTCGCTTCTATAAATGGACTAAAAGTAGAAAATAATGTTTTTCAGTCCCATAGAGTTTGCTTTGATATCTTTTGACTTTGAAATTTTATCCAAAGTCACTATAAACAATTTGTGATATTGAAAATGAAAAACGCGAAGCGCGTGCAATACAAACCATTACATTTAGTTGACAATAAGTCTTTCATTCAATAGTCAAACTACATAACATAGACATAACATTTTTATAGCGTAAGTACAAATTTGATATCGATTTTAAGCGATCGATATTATTTCTTGATCTTTTTTTTGGAACTAGTGATATTAAGTTCACCCTTCAGATTGCCTAACACGCATCACATCCCATTCGTTTTGGAAATTGAACTTTTTGAGTTCTTTGAGATTCCTACTGAAACCCAGGGTATATTATTCAATTACAATTCTTTTAATTTTGAAATCCTTGATCATATATTTTTAAATATCAACTGGGACGATCTTTTTGGAGTCGATGATGTGGTTATTTGTTTCGATAAGTTTAGAAGTACCAATACCAATACATGCTACTTTACCATACAAGCTTCCTTGGTATTCAAAAGATCTAAAACGTCTAAAGAACTTGAGAAATAAGTTCTTTATAAAGTATAAGGCTGCCAATGAGCAGAAATACCTTGATCGCTATACATCTTACAGAAAAGAAATTGATAATTTAAATAAATTCCAAATTTGAGTACAAAATCAGAAGTCAACCTAAAAGTTTCTGGCAATATGTATAATTGAAAAAGAAAGTTTCAAGTATACCCACCTCGGTTTTTATAAGGAGTACACAGGTAATTCTATTTCTGAGGCTGCAAATCTCTTTGCTGATTTTTTTTCCTCTAACTTTACTCGTGGCGATGACCTTTCTAGTAGGGACCTTGAAAATTTACTTGGTAAGAACTTTAGTGACACGCTATTCTTCAAGCCCGATTCTGTGCACAGAAATCAAAAGCTCTTTTCTTGATAAACTATCAAGATTAAAAATACTATTGACAAATTGAAATTTCATTTTAAATGTATAAATTTTGTATATTAATAAATTTGTTTCTAATACTACGTTCAAATTGACGAGCTAAACATGTTAAATGGACTTGAACCAGTTAAATGAACAAAACGTGTTCATAAACAAGTTAAATCGCATGCAATTGTTGTTGGAAAATTGAACCAGTTAAATCATTTAACTCGTTTGAAAACCAGTTCAACGCAGAGTAGTATCGGAAAGCTTTCTGCTCCGGCCAATCAGAAAGACCCAAAAGCTTTCATTTGACATCTCAACATTCAAAAAATTTATATTCTGAAAAATATTAAAAATTAAAAATTATCAAAAAATATCAAAATTGTATGCATGACTGCCCGCCAAAATAGAGGCTAATGCGGTAATTAGTTATTTCCCATGAGGTCTCATCGTACGCAGAGATAAATAGTGCATACGAACTAAACATTTTGAAGTCTCTAATTAATCCGTATGCGTTAATATCATGAAGCAGACATTCGCACAAAACAAATTGAAACACAAAAACTTGATTTTGAATATTTTTTTCGAGTTTTTTGGTAATCAAATAACCGTCAAAGTTAACTCCAAATGTTCAATGTGGATGATTGTGTTTTCCAAAAAGCTCTTTTTCATTTAACAAGTTAAATGGGGCCAATTTGAACATAATATAACAACTAAATACTCCATGTGCCGGCATTTGAACCTGAGACACACGGAATTATAGTCGACATCTTTACCTACTCGGCTACGGCAGTCAAGAGCTTTTTTGCTTTTAAATTCATATTTTTCATATGTGACAATGAGATCAGTTCCACTCATGTGGAAATCCGTTCCACTCATGTGGAAATCGTAGAGCTTTTTGTTTTATAAATATTGACACAGAATGCGAAGAGAGCTTTTACTTGATAAAAATCTTGATAACATTTCTTTACAAAAAATTTATCAAGAAAACACAGTTAATGTGGGAACGTTATTTCTCTCTGAAGAAGATATAATCAATGGCAAAATAATCTAAAATATTCTGCGCACACTGACGTAGATGGTGTCTGAGTGGTTTTATTGAAAAACTGCCATTCTTTAGTCACACCGTTAAAAATTATGTTTAATAGCTCACCTCCTCGGGTGTTTTTGCAGATGACTGGGAACTAACGTCAGTCATGCCCATATTCAAAAGTGTAAACAAAAGCGATGTTACTAATTATAGGCCTATCTCAAAGCTACCAACTGTTTCAAAGTTGTTTGAATGTGTTATGAAAGACAAACTATTTTTATACCCGAGCACACTCGTGCACAAGGGCATTATAACTTTGTTCACATAACGGTTGTTTGTAACAGGCAAGACTATTCAAGATAGGTATAGACAAATGTATCATAAATGATCAGAATGAAAAAAGAAATCGATTAAGCGGTGACTATCGTCCGTCTGTCCGTCTGTTCACACGTAACTCGAGTGAAATTGAGATGTGTACTTCTTTTCAGCGTAGGACGAATGGTATTGAAATGGGCAAAATCGGATGATAACCACACCTACCTCCCATATAACGGTAGTTTACAGAAATACGAAAACTGCGATATTTTAGTAACTACTGGATAGTCGTTGCGCTGGGCATGCAGTTAAAGTTGCATGGCTATACTCAATCCCGATTCTTGCGTCCTCGTTCGCGCACTATGGGCAACGTGAGCAACCCATGCGCAAGATGCGGTAACCAATCCGAGTGGAGCCTTGGGTCACGGCAGAAAGAGAGGGAGCTTCGGATGAGACCCCCCCCCCCTTATGATGTCGACCACGGCAAACGTTTAGAGGACAACGATTTGGGGGCATGCACCTGAAATGTCCGGACCCTTAATGGGGAAGGTGCCTCTGCACGGCTGGTTGATGTCCTCGTAAGGATAAAAGCTGACATCACCGCCATCCAAGAAATGCGTAGGACGGGACAAGGCAAGCAATGCCTGGGGCCTTGCGACGTATACCACAGCTGCCATGTAAAGCAGCCCAAATTCGGAGTTGGATTTGTGGTGGGAGAGAGACCGAGTACTGTCGTTCACCCCGGTGGACGAGCGTCTAGCCATAATCCGCATCAAAGCGAGATTCTTCAACATATCGCTCATCTGCGCTCAAGCCCCGACGGAAGAGAGAATGAGGCATCCAAGGATCTCTTCTATGAGCGCTTGGAGCGCACGTACGAGCACTGCCCCCGTCATGTTATCAAAATCGTGCTTGGCGACTTCAATGCCAGGGTGGGCAAGGAAGGGATCTTTGGAACCACCGTCGGAAAATTCAGCCTCCACGACGAAACGTCCGACAACGGATTGAGGCTCATCGACTTCGTCGGGCCCGAAACATGGTAGTATGCAGTACTAGGTTCAAGCATAAAAGGATCCATAAAGCTACGTGGCTGTCCCCTGATCGAAAAACGAGAAGCCAAATCGATCATGTTGAGATGGACGGAAGACACGCTTCCAGTGTTTTAGACGTACGCGAACTCCGAGGCCCAAACATCGACTCGGAAGATACGCACGAGCCTCCGTGCAGCAAAAAATGTGCGGCCAAATATGGAAGGGAAGCTTAACGTCGAAAAGCTGCAATCACAACAGACAGCCAGTGCTTTCGCTAGTCGATTCTCATACCTGCTCTCAGGGAGCACCCTTCATCAAACCGACATATGCGAGCAGTGGAACCACATTTCACGCTCATTAAGTACCGCTGCCGAGGAAGTAGTCGGATTGCAGCGACCCCGAAAGAGCAACTGGTATGATGAGGAGTGTCAGGAAGCTGCAGAGAAAAGAGATGCCACCTACAGCGCAACGCTGCGATCGGGCGCAACGCGCGATATGTGGGACCGCTATAGAGATCTGAAGAGGGAAGCGAGACGTATTTGCCGCAATAAGAAGAGAGAGGCCGAAATACGTGAGTGCGAAGAGCTTGAAATGCTGGCCGACAGGAAGAATGCCCGAAAATTTTGCCAAAGAGTTAGGCGACTTACGGAAGGTTTGAAGACCAGGGCGTACTCCTGTAAGAACAACAATGGCGACCTAGTAACCGATGTTCAGAGCGTACTTAAATTATAGAGGGAAGACTTCTCCGCCATACTGAATGGTAGTAGCACGGAAAGTTGCGGAGAAGAAGAACCCGAGCCCGCAGTCGATGATGACGGAGTCGACGTTCCACCGTCTGACTATGAGGAGGTACGAATAGCAATAACGCGGCTCAAAAACCACAAAGCTTCTGGAGCTGACAGCCTGCCAGCTGAGCTATTCAAGTACGGCGGCGAGGAGTTGATAAGGTGAATGCATCAACTCTTATGCAGAATATGGTCAGATGAACGCATTCCCGACGACTGGAATTTAAGTGTACTCTGCCCAGTCCACCAGAAAGGTGACCCCGCCATTCGCGCCAACTACCGCGGGATCAGCCTCCTAAGCATAGGTTACAAGGTCTTATCGAGCGTATTGTGTGAAAGACTGAACCGACCGTCACTGAACTGATTGGGCGTTATCAGTGTGGCTTTAGACCTGGCAAATCCACCATAGACCAGGTGACCCGCGAGACACTCACCACCTATTGGCGACTTTAAAGCCGCTTTTTACAGCACTGTGGCCGCTGTGGTGTAGTGGTAAGCAGTGCGCGCTTCCACTCCGCAACGCCTGGGTTCAAGTCCCGGTCAAAGCAACATCGCAAAAAATAAAAAAGGTTCTTTCGTAACAGAAGTCGTCCCTCGGCAGGCAATGGCAAACCTCCGAGTGTATTGCTGCCATGAAAAACAGCTTCTCATAAAAATACAATCGCCGTTCGG